TTAATGTTTTCATTTCTATATTAAAAAAAAAAACATTACTTAATAGTTACTACACATGCGGACAAAATTAGACAAAATCAAATTTATATGAAAACTGAAGTTATAGTAAATAATTTTATAAAATTTTAAAAGATTTGTTTGCTTTTAAAATTATTTCTATATCGGATACATTAATAACAGAATAAAATAAAATAAATATATAAAGAATTATAAAATAAATAAAACTGCGATTTTAGTTTACCTTCTTTTTTTTCCCCTGAAAAATAAAATCAAGGAAAAAAAAATCCAATATATTAATAACTCTGCGTAAATTTCGCGTGATTGAGTTCGGTGAAAAAAAATGAACGAAAAAGCTTCGAGAAAATTTGTATGAAGAAGCTTGAGAGCTAATTTCTCCGTGAATTTTTCTAGTCGACTTTTCTCGGAAAAAAAAAAGGTTGAAACTTTTTTGGTCTCTCTCTGGTCAAAATTTTGGGTTTGGTTGAACGCACCGAAGACAAATCGCATTGTCAAAAATTGGATCTGGCCAACAATCATTAGCACCAACTCTTTCCCTTTTGTGCTGTCTCTTGTTTTCTCGAAACGTGTAATTGATCTCGTCGCATTGTAGAAGAAGCTTTATTAAATTAGTCTTCCAAGGAAATTGCATCGAAGTCAGCTCCAAATTTCGATCAGGGTTGTTGAGTTTTTGTGTTAAAGTTTCGATCTTTATCGAGTTTCAGCAAAAGGGTCTGCTTTGAAAAAACTGTATAATCGGCAATTTGATTCTATTGAGTATCTGATGAAATGAGAAGCAAAAGATATGGTTGGAATGATTCGAGGAGGAATGGGTGATCAGAATTGGACTCGTTTAGTTTTCTGGTTGATTTTGCTTTCTGGGTTCGTGGTGATAACGTTGGAAGAGAATTCAGATAAAGATGAGATTTTTCTTAGTCAATTCATGGCCCCATCAACAGGGCAGGTCAATGAACAAATGGTAAAGATTGTTTTTTGCTTTTCAAGCTTGTTTGATTGTTCTTTACGAGATCATGTAGCTCTGTACTGTACTTTTGAGGGGAAAGTTGCGAGACATAGCTTGTTTCTTGCTGGAAGCTATGTTTTAGAGACTGAGATTGCATTTTTGGTTTTGATTCATGTTCCCTGCAAGAATCTAGGTGTCTGAGAAAGAGAATTATGATCATTAGCTTGTATCCTGTTATATAAAGTCTATAGTTTTTCAATGTGTCAATCATGTAATATTCTTAACTTAGCTTTAATCAATGGGGTAGTTTTTCTGAGAGCATTTTGTTGCTGCTATAGCTTTCAGTTCACGCTTGTCGCTATCATGACATGTTTTTGTTTATAAGGCATTCTTATGGTCTGTGTGTAGTGTGTACCAAATCTAGAAGATCTTGTAGCTCTGTTGTAGACTTTATCCAGAGAGAGTTGCGAGTTATAGCTTGGTTCTTGCTGAAAGCTTAGGTTTTTAGAGACTAAGATCGCATTTTTGGTTTTGTTTCATGTTCCCTATAAGAAACCTAAGATCATCTCAGAATGCTTACATTACATGATTCTTGCAAAATAGTTCGGATTCGCCATTTGCAATCATGGTTGGGTTTGTAGTTGGCTCTCTCTTAGTCATTGCTATGCTTTTCAAAATGTTTTGTAGCTCTGAAGTTGTTTCTCTCTTGTGTTTGACAGGGAGAAACATCATGGGCGCAGCGTTGTTGGCAAGATTCAGATTGTGTGAAGGAAGCTGTCTTAGCATTCAATTTATGTTTTCCAGGATCAAAGGATAGTAGGGAACTATTTGGTTTGAATCATTCACATCTGAAGCAGACTCTTCTTGATTGTATCCAAGAAAAAGGAAAGTTAAATGGCCATAACCCCAAGTATTTCGAGCTCTTATCATCTATGCTTGATATTCCGAGGAGAATTCTAGCTACTAGACCTGGCTCTTCTCCTTCCCCTTCACCTTCACCTTCCCGTCCTCCTAAGCGTAGTCCAGGGACTCGGCGCCCACCTACTCGATCAAGACCCCCACCTCCGCGGAAATCATCTTTTCCACCATCAAGATCTCCCCCTCCGCCTCCTGCTAAGAAAAACGTTTCTAAAAATTCAACTTCTGCACCTGTTTCACCTGCGAAAAGAAAAGAGGATCATGAGAAAACAATCATCATTGCTGTTGTTGTGACTGCGGTTTCTACGTTTTTGTTTGCTGCATTATTCTTCTTATGCTGCACCAGGGTTTGCGGAAATGGTTCAGGAGGCAGGAAAAACGATGAACGGCCTCTTCTCAGTTTAAGCAGTAGCGATTACTCTGTTGGTAATAATATCTCCACTTTGTCACGGTACTAATCTAACAGGAAATTTCTTGAATTTTAAATTAAGATCAAAACACTTTTTAATGTTTTCAGGTTCCTCCATCAATTATGGTGGTTCTGTCAAAGGAGACAAGTTGGGTCATCAATCTTTTAATATTTACTCAAACCAAGGAAAAATGTCATCTTTCGATGGAAGTAATTCTGACAATTCGGATTCGTTAGAAGAAAGGCTGTCACATGAAGGAATGAGAAATAATAGTATTACTAATCACGGGCTTCCACCTTTGAAGCCTCCACCTGGAAGAACAGCTTCTGTACTCTCAGGGAAGTCTTTTTCTGGAAAAGTGGAGCCTCTTCCACCGGAACCTCCCAAATTTCTTAAGGTATCCTCAAAAAAAGGTTCTGCTCCTCCGCCGCCAGTTCCAGCACCGCCAATGCCATCTTCTGCTGGTCCTCCACGACCGCCTCCTCCAGCTCCGCCACCTGGTTCTGGTGGGCCTAAGCCACCACCTCCTCCTGGACCAAAAGGACCACGTCCGCCTCCACCGATGAGTCTCGGCCCAAAAGCACCCCGACCGTCTTCTGGGCCAGCAACCGCGTCAGATGATGATGCTCCCAAAACAAAGTTGAAGCCATTTTTCTGGGATAAAGTGCAAGCAAACCCAGAACATTCAATGGTTTGGAATGATATAAGATCAGGATCCTTTCAGTGAGTAAAGTTGTTAGCTTTTTCCCCAATATTCTGTAACCATATAACTTTTGCAGTTACTGAATACAACTTATTTGTGATGCTTTTCCAGGTTCAATGAAGAGATGATAGAGTCGTTATTTGGATATGCAGCAGCAGACAAGAATAAAAACGACAAAAAGGGGTCCTCTGGACAAGCTGCTTTACCTCAGTTTGTTCAGATTCTGGAACCAAAGAAAGGACAAAATCTATCAATTCTTTTGCGTGCTTTGAATGCGACAACTGAAGAAGTATGTGATGCACTCCGCGAAGGTAACCTTATTTTTTACTAGGTGGATTAAAAAGATTTTGATTTTCTGGCAACAGTCTCCTATGTATTCTCTAACATAATTTTTGTTGAATTAGGAAATGAGCTTCCTGTAGAATTCATTCAGACTCTGTTAAAGATGGCACCAACACCAGATGAAGAACTAAAGCTTAGATTATACTGTGGTGAAATAGCCCAACTGGGATCCGCTGAACGATTCCTGAAAGCAGTCGTTGATATCCCTTTTGCTTTCAAGCGTCTAGAGGCACTTCTATTTATGTGTACACTCCATGAAGAAATGGCCTTTGTTAAAGAATCATTTCAGACATTGGAGGTACGTTTCTAATCTTTAACAAAAACTTTTTACTGAAAAGAAAATTAGATTACAGTTTCTTAGTCTTTCTCAAGAATCTTGCTTCTTCTCCAATCTAAATGCATCTTCTTTGGTGTATATGAAAGGTTGCTTGTAAAGAACTTAGGGGAAGTCGGCTGTTCCTGAAGCTCTTAGAGGCGGTTCTTAAGACCGGAAACCGAATGAATGATGGTACATTTAGGGGTGGTGCGCAAGCTTTCAAGCTGGACACTCTTTTGAAATTAGCAGACGTCAAGGGAACTGATGGGAAAACAACGCTCCTCCATTTCGTTGTTCAAGAGATAATTAGGACTGAAGGTGTAAGAGCGGCTCGTACTATCAGAGAGAGCCAAAGTTTCTCAAGTGTTAAAACAGAGGATCTCTTAGCCGAGGAAACCTCTGAAGAGACAGAAGAGAATTACCGAAATCTTGGACTTCAGAAAGTTTCAGGCTTGAGCAATGAGCTTGAACATGTAAAGAAATCTGCAAACATAGATGCTGATGGTTTAACAGGGACTGTTCTTAAAATGGGTCATGCTTTGTCGAAAGCTCGAGACTTTGTCAACTCAGAGATGAAGAGTTCAGGCGAGGAAAGTGGGTTTCGTGAAGCGCTTGAAGATTTTATTCAGAATGCTGAAGGAAGCATCATGTCCATACTCGGGGAAGAGAAGAGAATAATGGCCTTGGTGAAAAGTACAGGGGACTATTTCCATGGCAAAGCAGGAAAAGATGAAGGGTTGCGTTTGTTTGTGATTGTCCGCGATTTTCTGATAATCTTAGATAAGTCCTGCAAAGAAGTCAGAGAGGCACGAGGAAGACCCGTAAGGATGGCCAAAAAACAGGGCTCAACAGCCTCATCTTCTTCAGAAACTCCAAGACAAACACCTTCATTAGATCCTAGACAGAAACTGTTTCCAGCTATTACAGAGAGACGCATGGATCAGTCTAGTTCAGATTCAGACTAAAAAGTACAAATCTTTGGTTTCGTTACCTCTTAGGACATAATTCCTCTGCGGTTTTGCTGAAAGCTTCTCATTAATCTTTTCCCTCAGACATGTCAGGCTTTAGTAGCTAATGATTATATGAGTTTTTCAGGTGTAATTTAAAGAGGCATAGACACTGTCACTCACTTGTACCAACATTTAGTTGTAGAATCACATTTCTATTTTCATCTTTTTCAATCTTGTTGGCGATAGAAGAGTAATCCTTTTTGTTTTTCTTTCTTGTACTGTTACTATCAATGACAAAGGAAATCATTTTTTTCTATTTCGAATTGATTTTAAAGCTACGAAGTGCAGGGTTTGCTTGTTGAATAAGGCATTAGAATAAGAGATTTATCATTCTGATTATGCAGAATACTTTCATATATTCACACAAACTGAAACAACATGTCCAAACTGAAACAGGAAGAAACAAATCCCTAAAGGAATTAAAAAAGCAACGATACAAAAAGTAACCATCTATAGCTAGTTATTAGGTTATTAGATCTAAAGCCAGAAGAGAGACGTGTTCTATATCATTGTGTTAAAAGACCTAATCTTCCTGAGGCTTTGAAGCACCAGCCTTCTTAGGGAGAAGGAGATTGTGGATGTTAGGCATCACTCCTCCATTGGCAATAGTCACATCTCCAAGAAGCTTGCTTAGCTCCTCATCGTTTCTAACAGCGAGCTGAATGTGACGAGGAACAATACGGGTCTTCTTGTTATCTCTTGCTGCGTTTCCAGCTAATTCAAGAACCTGAAGAAATTGAACGAACACACACGTCATTAAAACACCCAATTCAGGAAATGGAATTGATCAAACTTCCCAAATTTGAAAACTTTAACAACTCAAAATCAAATTAGTTTCCATAATTGACCAAAATTTAGAATCTTGCGAGAAAACTACAAAGATTCATATGATTACGATTATAATCAACTAATCAAAATAAAACCCAAAATTAGGTTCAATTAAAGAACTATGACAAATCAATTAAACACCAATCTAAGCCAAATTGAGAAAATTATGGAAAATTCTACAAATTCTAAGTAAATTCCCCAATTTCGAATGTCAAATTCGGAAAATGAAAGAACCCTAGATTCTTCATCGATCGCAAAAAATTCAATCACGCGAAAAACAGAGAAAGACCCAATAAAATCGGAAACGGAATAAAGATCGTAAAGACGATGTAAATTACCTCGGCGGCCAAATACTCAAGAACGGCGGCGAGATAGACCGGAGCACCAGCACCAACACGTTCGGCGTATTTACCGGCTTTCAAGAATCGAGCGATACGACCCACCGGAAATTGAAGACCAGCCTTGCTACTCCGAGATGTGGCTTTCTTCGCCGCACCGGATCCAAGAGTTTTTCCACGACCAGCCATTTTTTCAACAACAACAACCAAAAGAGCTTTTCTACCGCAAAAATCGAAAATTTTCTTGACGAATTATTATTATCAAGAAGATGAAACTTGATGTTTGTTTATATATGTTGGAGAATTAAGTTATTGACCAATAAGAAGAGACTACGCGGATCGAAGATTTTTAAACCGTTGATTATAATTAAATGAATGGTTACGATCTGAAAGTTTTTTCTCCCACCGCTTGACTTTTTTTTGTTGGTTTCTTTTGGACGAGGGAATTTCCAAATATTTCATGTAAAATTCAATTTATTTATTCCCTTGGAAATATATTATGGGCTGGAAAAATCGAATTACAAAGTAAATGGGCCGCTTCTGGGTTCACATTATTGACTTTGTGATATATGAAACCCAACTCTAGGCCCACCAAACCTCATAATCGAAGCAAAGGGACTGAAATTTATTACTTTATTAATTTATAGAGTGATTAGTGTGTATCCAAAAAATGATATAACATAGTGATATACCAAGGACATAAGTACACTCCAATATAATATTCAAAACAAAAAAAAGGTACTTCTAATGTGTTGTATAAATAAAATATATATATATATATATATTTTTTAATTGAACAACCATTGTGGCATTTTATTACTATATAACTTTGATGAATTTCTACTAATCATATAAAAATAACGTTGGATTACTAAAAATGTCACGATAAAATAATGTTGAAAGTGAGAAACTTATATTATGGAAAAAAAGAAGTTTCAGAGTAAATTGTGTTCACCAAATCTAATTCAATAGTTATAGATCCAAGTCATACGAAAATTAAGATATATCATAGCTAGATTGGGGCAGACCAGTGAATGTGGTGTGGTCGAAATGATGGTCCTGTTGGTTTTAGGTTTTTGGGAAAAACTGGGAAACCCAGAAGGAAGGACATGATCTATCAATATGTTTCAAAATTCAATTTCTAAATTTAATGTCTTCCTTTTGTATTCAATATGGCTATAACGACACCCACACCTACTTTCATTATCTACCCTTTGCGATATCTACAATTCATAATAAATGCACTTTCAAAGTTTGACAAACTCACTTCAGATTAGAATTATTATATTTTGATCATTAAAACAAACTGTTATTGTCATCCATTCCTGAATGTTTTGAAGTCGATATGATGTAAATACTAAATACTATAGTGTTACTTTATTATGAACAGAGATAATGCAAACATATTGATGTAATATCCGGTTTTCGTTTCGTTTATACACATAAATCTTATATTCCATCGTCCGCTCGTATAAAAATTTATGATGTATAACTAGAGTGTGAAACTGATAAAGTTACATGCATGGTTAGTATAAATTTTAATGGTTTGTTATATGTGTGTAAACTTACATGGTGTATCTATAATTAAGAACATATAGCTCTGAACTTATTGATTACTATCTTTCCAAGAAATGTCAGAATGTTTCATTTGCTCTTATGGGGCATTTAAGTGTGTGAATTGACAGATGCAAGCAGAAAGAAATGAAATCAATGTTCTTTTTAGTTCCTATAGCTATGCTATTAATTCATTAATAATTCTCATTTAGTTGTCACTGACCAACAATTTGTCATCATTATTGCTTGGATTAACTTAGTGAGTGAATACATATGTATAGTTTTAGCCTGATTAGGTTTCAGACATCATAGAAGCATAATCCAAATAGAATCAACTCTTTCACCATAAAATCTGTCAAGTAAATTTTTAAAATAAAAAATTTCTTCTTTTTGCGAGGAAAATCCTTATTAGACCGGTGAACCTGCCCACACACGATCTCATTGATTGGCGATCGTATTAACTGTAATTAAATTTTGTAAGAGACAGTTAAAGGAAATTCCAAAATTTTGGAAGTATGACATGAATTCAAGATTCTCTACACGGTAACTATAGGAAAAATATCTTTTCTGTATCTTTTTAAAACCAAAAATAATCGAACTAATTACGATTTATGGCTATTATTAATTCTCTTCTTTTAATGAATGCAAAGGTCACCAGTAAAAATTCCAATATTCAGCTAATGTATTTTTTTTTTTTTTTTTTTGTCAACATTCAGCTAATGTACTAATCACAACAATCTATAAGACGAGTATACTATAATTACTATTTCATAATTCATGATACGTACATGAACATTGAACATGTTGTGAAGTCTTTTCAGTTTTTACACTTTTAAGATTCGTAAAACAGTAAATGAAAGAAACATTCTCTCGTGTTAAATTACATCGGTGAGTTGAGACATTATAGACCTCCTTCAGATTCATTTGCTCGTACATGCTTCTATTAAAAAAAAAAAAAAAATTAAATATTATCTCATTTAATAATTCAACTGTATATATCTTCTCATAAGACAAAATTCACTTACCTATTTTGCTTCTTCAATATTTTTATTTATATTTATTATAGTATCACTTCCAAAAAAATCCCAAAAAAAAATTCAGAAGAAGATAGAGAGAGATATCAACAACAACAATGGAAGATTCAAGCAAAAAAAGCCAAAAGAAGAAGAAGAACAAAACCAAGAACAACATCCCAACTGTTTGGTTCTCACTCAAGAAATCTCTCCACTGTAAATCCGAACCATCTGATGTCCACGACCCTAAATCCACAACTAAACAACAACACCTCTCCACAATCTCCACCAAGAAAATATCCGGCGTATCCTCCGGAGGCGCAGCCGTATGCGGTGGTGGTTTATCAGGATGTTCAAGATCAATAGCAAATCTCAAAGATGTTATCCATGGAAGCAAAAGACATTTCGAGAAACCACCAATAAGTAGTCCTCGTTCTATTGGAAGCAATGAGTTTCTCAATCCTATTACTCATGAAGTTATCCTTAGTAACTCAACTTGTGAGCTTAAGATCACTGGTGTTGGAGACATGGCTTCACCTGTCGGTGCAGTGGATTCCGGCGGTGGAGGTGGCGGCGGAGGAGGAGGAAATGGTAGGTCTACGACTTATGTAGGTATGCTTAGACCAGGAACACCGATGCATTATCTTAACCATTCAGCTTCTTACCGGAGCCAAACGAGAAAGGGTTCGTTTGCTTTGTCGGAGAGAGATCGAGGAGGAGGAGGAGAAGGGTTAGGGTTTCATACAAACAGAAGAGTTTCATTGGAGATGAACAGAGAAACCGCCATTAATGGAGGCAACAATTCCTCTGTTTCTTGTCATAAATGTGGTGAACAGTTCAATAAACTTGAAGCTGCTGAAGCTCATCATCTCTCTAAACACGCCGGTAAGTAAATTCATCAAATTATACAATTTAGGTTTCAGAATAACTAAAAGTTAGGTTACAAAAATCGCAACTTTATAAAGAAAAAACAGAGTCTTGAAAAAACAGAGTTTTGCAATTAGCAATTCAAAGCTAAAGTGTTGAACTTTAACAACATTTACTCTAAATTTCGGATTTTGATTATGTAGTTTAATTAAAAGCTTCTCAAATTTATCTAACTTTCATCCAAATTGCAGTAACAGAGCTTGTAGAAGGAGATTCATCAAGAAAGATAGTGGAGATAATCTGCAGAACAAGCTGGTTAAAATCAGAGAACCAATGTGGAAGAATCGATCGAGTTTTAAAAGTACACAACATGCAAAAAACACTAGCTCGTTTCGAGGAATACAGAGAGACAGTAAAAATCAGAGCAAGCAAACTTCAAAAGAAGCATCCAAGATGTCTCGCAGACGGTAACGAGCTACTTAGGTTCCACGGAACCACTGTGGCTTGTGGTTTAGGTATAAACGGGTCAACGAGTCTTTGCACGGCGGAGAAATGTTGTGTTTGTCGGATTATACGAAATGGGTTCTCGTCGAAACGGGAGAAGAATAATGGAGTTGGTGTTTTCACGGCATCGACTAGTGGAAGAGCGTTTGAGTCGATTTTGGTTAATGGTGGAGATGAGAGTGGAGATGTTGATCGGACGGTGAGGAAAGTGTTGATTGTGTGTAGGGTTATTGCCGGAAGAGTTCATCGGCCGGTGGAGAATGTGGAGGAGATGAATGGGTTGATGAGTGGGTTTGATTCTTTGGCTGGTAAAGTTGGTGTGTATACAAATGTGGAGGAGCTTTATTTGCTTAATCCTAAAGCTTTGCTTCCTTGCTTTGTGGTTATTTGCAAACCCTGAAAAAAATTAGCATTTTGGGAAGAAGAGTGAATTTTTATTTTTTTTGTTGATAAATTTATGTTTCGTATAATGAGAATTGAAATCAATAGAAATTTGGAATCTAGATTTTAATTATTACTGATTTTTAGCATTTTGTTTCGAATAGTAATGAATAGATATTATCATATTAATGAATCGATTTATTTGTAGAGTTGCCATTTTGTTTAGCCATTCCACAAACACATTCCATGATCACTTTACTAAAGTTTTTCACAAGTGCATGGTTTGATAAGTAAGGTTTACCAATAAAAATCTGCATTATCTTTTGCCAAGTTTAGTTCTGAGTTTTTAACCATTTTACTTAGATTTTTAACAGCAAGGAGAGGCAAAAAAAATAATACTAATATTTTGTTCAAATTATTTTTTAGATTAAATTTGTATGTAGTGTATTTAAATTGATGTGAAATCAATGGTTAAAGATAGATGTCGAAGTTTGTCAGAGTGAGAATTTAGTTTCACGGGTGGCCTGTTGGTAAAAGTGCTACTAAATGCCAAATTTCATTCAGTAATTAAAGGTTATTGAAAAAGAAAGGGAACAAGAGATTTTTTTTTCTTTACGACGAGAAATAAAAAAAAGTACTATGATACGATTACAAAATTCGGATATGTAACAAATAGAACAATACAAATATGACCAATGAATGCCTCGTCTGGTTTATAGTTATACTACAGTTTGCATTTTTTTTTCAATTTTGTTGAGCACAAATGAATGTTTATTTCCAAAAATGACATGAACAATTATTGGAATGTTGTTTCAAAAATTAAAAATCAATTGTGAAGAATGTTTTTACGAAGTATTGTAAACAATGTTCATTGATACTGATATACAAGAGACGGCACTGTTTAGAATACTGATTTACTATCAGTTTCAAATTAGTACATTATTAATGATAAAAATTATGAAACACTAGAATATTATACGTAAATAGTGGTGTTTCATTGTTTCATGTACTATTTTTCTATAACATTTTCGTTTTACTTTTCTTTCAAATTTTTTTGGAACCATCCCCTTTTAGTCCTAGATTATGTACAACATAGTTTTATATAAAAGGCATGGCAAATAAGAACAAAAATAACATTGATGACAATTAGGCATTTTGTTAAAACGAATAAAGTAAATGGTCCATTGGATTCATAATGGCAGTGAGACAAAGCTTACGTCAAAGGTGACGACAAAATTCTATCCCATGCAAAAAATTATTTGGAGCTTTAAATATATCTATCTGCAAAAGCCACCCACTCATAATTATCCGCTGAGAAAATGAAAAAAAATCTGAATCTGTGAGCCCAATAATAAACCGAAGTTTCAAATCTTAAAGTTTCGAATTCTGAAAAGAAATATATAGTCGATAGTTATATATAATTATATAGAATGTGCAATGCAAAATAATTGTGATATTCATTTTGATTCACTAACAGTTAATCAAAATTTAGCAGATATTTACCTGTATATATAATCCTATTAACTTTGGATTGAATATGAATCGTAAATGTGTTTAGGCAGAACAAATTAAATCATGGTAATACAATAAAATTTGGATATTGTTCTTCTCTAGATACTTTTAAAATTACAAAATATGTGTAAATATTGGAATGAATGACAACGAGGCCTGATATGGACAGTGTATCTACTTCAACCTAAGTAACGTTGGGATCATACCACATGACATCTCAAAGAGAATTAATTTTGATTTTTCAGTCGACAACAATATTTTTTCTTTTGGTCAGAAACACTCGACAAAAATCTATGTCGTCATATTCAGATCCTTTTATATAATGACCGAAACGTAATCCACTTCTAAGATGTTTACTACGCTCAAAGTATGTGAAATATATATACGATGGTAAAATATTTGAAATGATGACTAAATATGTGACGTTAATCGTCAGGTGACCTCAAGGCCGGCTCAAATTTTATTTGGACCTTGTGCACATTTTAAAAAAAATCTGAAAATTATACATATTATAAAAATTTAGGATTTTATTTATAAAAATTCTAAAATTTAGAGCCCTAAAACCTTAAAGAAAAACAAAAAAAATTGTGGGATCCAGTGCTTGAGCACTCATAGCACTACCCTTAAGTCGGGTCTGGGTGACCTATAACTCTATAAGTCTATAATTATGCATGTGTTCCTAATCAGGTATTTATGAAGAAATACAAATGATTAAGCACCGATAAACTATAACAAAAAGACTTATATATAAGTGATCACTGATAAACATTGTGAACAAAAAAAAAAAAACGGTTTCATTGGCCAGTTTTATGTTTGAAGAGAGAATCCATCTTTGTACACACCCATATATATGCAACTAAAGCTAATTGCAGTTTTAAACATTGAACATTAGGCATTATCTCCTAGAAAACATATATAAACTATTTTGATTCCATTACTAAAAACTTGTGTCTTTGTCGTTTGGCCAAGCAACATTCTGACTAACCAATTGTATTGTAGTGTATTGAATTTGTTCATTGTTGAAACTGTTCCTTGGAATTAGTTTTCTTTCTTTGTGACTATGGATCGAAGGTTGCTTTGGGTTGCTGATTCGGGTAACGTTGATGCTTTATATGCTCTAATTCACAAGGATCCATATATTTTACAAAACATTGATTTTTTACCTTTCGTCCACACACCTCTCCATGAAGCTTCATCAACAGGAAAGACAGATTTGGCGATGGAACTGATGGTTTTAAAACAACCTTTTGCCAAAAAACTAAACGCGGATGGGTTTAGTCCTTGCATATTTCTGTTGAAAATCACCAAACTACAGGTATGACACCACTACATCTTGTTGTAAAAATAAAGGTGATGCCAACCTTCTTACTGAGTTTTTACTGGCTTGTCCTGAGAGCATCAAAGACACGAACGTGAATGGCGAGACTGCTCTACATATAGCGGTGATGAATGATAGATACGAAGAGCTCAAAGTGCTCACAGGATGGATACATAGATTGCACAAAAGCGATGCTGCATCTACTGAGATTCATGACTTGAACAAACGTGATCGTGATGGCAACACGATCTTGCATCTTGCGGCATAGAAAAATAATCATACGGCATGTTCTTACCCGTCTTTATAATTCGAAATGCATTTTCGATATCCATTGTTTAATGGTTCTTCAAATTTTCCAATCTTATATTAAGAAGAAGATAAAAACCAATTAAGTATGCAAAGATATAGGTTATATCCCTCAATATCGTCAACTGAATTAATCTAGATTAATAAAAAAGTCACAAAAAAATATCATACTCTAATCTTCTGGACCAGGCCCGGCCCGTCCATAAGGCAGCTAAAGCCTATGCTTTAGGCCACAAATTATAAATTAAAAAAATGAGGCCACATTTCTGAAAAGTCTCGATAGTCCAGTGACAAAACCTTTGCCGGAAATGCTATATGTCTCAGGTTCGAGTCTCCATGGTTGATGATTTTAATTTTAATTTTTTTTTTTTTTTTTCAAATCCAATTATGCTTTAGGCCACATATATTGTAGGACCGGCCATGTTCTGGACCATATATGTGTTATAGGGTTTTCTAATGAATGGTTGTCATGAAGCTTCTACAGGTAGTCAAACAACTATTAAAATGCATATCGCTGAACCGGAACATCCAGAACAAAGGTGGTATGACAGCCCTTGATATCTTACGAACTAATGGATCTCACATGAACATAAAAACAGAGAAAATTATACGAAACTCAGGCGGTAAGAGCGGGGTTTCTCTATCAAAAGTTAATTAAGACCGCATCTGTCTTCTTGAGATCGCCCGTAACTTTTGTAGAATATTGCTCCACGGCAATGACTCGCTATAAGAACCGTATGTCAGACGGAACAAGAAATGCCCTTCTAGTAATAACAGCTCTGATTATTACAGCTACATATCAAACTGCTGTCCAACCGCAAGATAAAAATGAAATATTTTACAGGGGAAATATCATAATAAATGTGTTGTTTGTGTGGGGATTCAATACTATATATAGCATTTTGCTTGGCTATTGCCTTGACATTTATACTCTTACCGGTTGGTAAAGCATATAATTGGTGGTATATCATCATTTCGGTCCCTCTCGTTTGTTCTTACGCTCTTTCGATGTTTCTCAAGTATATAGAGTTCCCGATAATATTTATGCCCTTATACTTGATGACGGCATTCATACTCGGATTTCTAATCTATGTATTTGTACTATACGTGAGATGGAAGAGGGCTAAGCAGAAGAAGGTACCAGAACCAAAAAGTGAGCGGACTTTTGAAGGCTTCACGGCTATGATCTAAGTGTTGAACTTTGGACCTTTTCACTCTTTTAAGGTCAGCTCCCTCTATCTCTTAGTCTCTCTTTGTATCCCTGTTTTAACAGAAACACAAAGAGAACATTACTCTCTTGTTCTTATTTTAGTGTACTTAAACTAAACTAAACAATACACTTCTTCACTTGGGCCTTATTCATCTGCAGCCCATTATAAAAACACTCAAGCCCAACTTCTTCTCGTTGACTTGCGCTTCTTCTCCTCTTGTGTCGTCGACTCTCTTCACGACAACTTCATCTTCACCGATAACGCCTCCTTCGTCTTCTAACTGATTCTTTTCTTTGTTGCAGTATTTAATCAAGAACTCAAATCTCAACACTAAGCCGATGATCGACCTTCACAGGAGGTTGGGAGCATTATTCAATGTTTTTGAGTATTCTTCATATTGTAAAATAATCTGTGAAGAATCTAGAGACTTTTGTTTTGAAGACTATGCTTCCATATTGTGTAATATCACTACAAGAAAACTTTCGGGGTTTGATTAAACCTTCAACTAGTATCTGATGTATGTTGGTGAGATCTTTAGTTTTAGTTTGTTTAAAGGAATTATGGGTATGACTCGTATTATAATTTAATTGCCAAAGACTCGAAATAAGCAACATTATCTAAAAGAAACGAACAATTACTAGGTTACTATAAGATCGCATGATATGCCTTGGAGTTGTTTGTCAGCGTCAATAATATTGTAAAATCACTTCTTGGCTAAATATGACAAAACTATTAACTTAAAATAAAATAAAAATTTATCGTTTAATCAAGG